TTTGCTGACTACAGAACAAGAAAGCTTGTCTGATTGTAAGACATTAAGATTAAAAAAAATGCTGCTTAAATGATGTCTCTTCTCCTCTACCATACAGAAAAACTATTTTTTTGATGATAAAGAAAGTTCACAGCATAAAAAAAAAAAAAAGAAAAAAAAAAAAGTAAATTGCAGAACACTTCTACTAAAACAACAGGTCAGTCCTAATAATCTTTTAACAGAAAGATGGGTCTCACCCTGGTAATAGACAGCACCCTTATCTTGCCTTAAGTGGAACAATCAAGAAAAGATATATCAGATTTGAAGGTAATCCTAGTTCTGCCACTAAAAATGACATTGCTGAAATAGGATGTTTGTGATTCAATCTCTTTAAACAAACTGTTAAGTCACAAAAAAAAAAAAAAAGCATTAATGACAAATAAACCCATATCATCTACCTCCTCTCCTAACATGCAGACATACTCTTATCTGTGAGCATTCATCTTTGTGTCAAGTTGTTTCTTTTTTTAACTTGGTGTTGGATCCTGCCCAGGATTTGACTTCCCTTTTCCATGAAAAGAATATGATTTTATTTCTGAGAAGTACCAAGTACATTTTGGAATTTTTCTCTCTCTCTCTCTCTTTTTTTTTATTTTTTTTTAACTAAGATGAATAAAACCAACACTCTCATACTACACTCAGTAGAATATCCTACAAAGTGCCAAAAATTACCTTCATTTATCCTGCTGAAGCATAAAGACAACAAGCATGTACAAACCAACTTTTTAGGAGGCTTAAAGATCTCAAAAATTGTGTGTATCTTTAAACAAGACAAGGGTAAATAAGGATAAAAATACTACTTTCATTTCATTTATAAGTGGTTCCAGACATTGCAAGTTATGTTGTTGATATGCTGTTATTTTCCTCAGAAAACAGTTACTTCAGTTGCAGCATTGAACTTCAGTATATGGCAATTTGAGCCAAATAACACACAGAGTCTGATGCTTAAATGTCTCTGTTGTCTAGATTTGTTATGTCTTCATCTCTGAGGTATATCAGAATTAATTCTTTTAAGGATTTGTGTTTTACTATTAGGAGGTTACTAAATCTTTCTTCAAAATTTTTTGGATAAAGCACTCACTTTGCTTTAGATACTCATACATTTTCTCTCCAGTTTATAGATGTCAAAACAGTTTTTGCCTAGATCTCCTCATGAATGCTTTCCATTATTCTCTTCTCCTTTGTTTTACCAATAGTTGAGCAAGTTACACAGACATCTAAGAACGGAACTAAGGGAATTCATCCTTAGTCCTCAAGAGGTCTCTCTTATTTTATGAATTCCTTGTAGATATAAGTCAGTTTGTGGTAGTTATTTGAAATTAATATATTTTCATATATTCAAGTTCTTCTTTAAAACCTCCTAGCTAAGATACCTTTTTAATATTTTTTTCTCCACCAAAATATTCTGAAAACTAATGGAAATCTAAAGGCACGAGCTTGTTTTGATTATCTACTTTAGAGTCCACTCTGGAGGTTCTAATTATTCAATTATATACCCCTACACTTTCTTTTCTCTTCCTCCTACCCTGTCCCTCCACCAAAAGCTCTTGAATTTCTGTAAATGAAGGAAAAGGTCTTTCTCTGACAACCATATTTTTATAAAGTATGATGCTTTTGCTATTCTGCCTTCCCATCTTCCAAGGCCAGCACAGCCTCCTATGTTGCAGGCCTAAAATTCCTAGTTAGAATTTCTAGTGTTTCTACCAAGGAGATATTTGATGATGATAGCTACTGGAACCTGGACATCATATAAGTTCAGCTTCCATTTTTCAAAAATTATGCCAAAACTAATTGCTCTGCAGAGAGACCTGAAAATGTGATTGCTGTCTCAGAAAACAGAAGATAGGAAAGAAAAAGACCACAATAGCTATTTTATCTTAGAACACAATAGCTATTTAATTAGAACACAAGCTATTTAATCTTACTTGTTTGAGTCAAACCTCACAATATTCATACCTTCTGTACACTTGACCTTGGTAATACTACAGCTCACTGAGGCGAAGCGCTATTAAAGGCAAAGGCTCAGAAGAATCACTGGTGAGAGGAGTGAGACCTGAGGTATTCTTTAGCTAACCATTACTGCTACTGCTAGAGAGAAACAAGCTCATGCCAAGGCTCAGTCAGATTTGCTGGGTTTGCTCATATACAGTGGACAGCACTGCTACAGCATTCTGCTTAGAAGGCATTTGAATGAGCTGATTGTTCAGTTTTGGACTACTCTGTGCCTTTCCCATTTGAAGAGACGGCCTCCTTTACATACAAACCTGTGTTATCACAGCTGGAAAGGAGAATACAGAATCTATAGTGAGGCTATAGAAAGGTGGGGTTCAGTCTCCACCCACTTGGTACCAGTCCCAAGCACCAAGTGATAAGACAAGAGGAAATGGCCTCAAGTTGCACCAGGGGAGGATTAAGTTGGATCTTCACTGAAAGGGTTGTGAAGTATTGGAACAGGCTCACCAGGGAAGTGATCGAGTCACCATCCTGGGATGTCTTCAAAAAACAAGCAGATATAGTGCTTAGTGACACGGTTTAGTAGTGGACTTGGCAGTGCTAGGTTAAAGGTTGGACTAGATCATCTTAGAAGTCTTTCCCAAACTTAATGAGTCTATCATTCTATGATCTTCTCACCATCACCACCACAGAATTTCATCTTCTTTTTCAATCTTATAAACAATGATCAAAAAGCTCAGTTAGGTCAACAATGAGTTTGATGAGGGTCTAGGAAAAGAGTTCAAAATTGAAAACACAGACTTTTTGCATTTGCACAGAAAAGATGGAACAATAATGTTAGAAATAAGGAACACATGGAGCCTGGGCCAAACCGTGGTTTCCTTCCAATGCCCATAATGAAAGAAGGTTGAACAAACTTAATGAGCAAACCTGAGACAACTCATCTGGGTCTCCAGGATTATTGAGCATCTGCATGCAAGACTTATTTACAAAAAAAAAAAAAAAAAAAGTGATTCAATAGTAATCATTATTGTAATATCTAAATGAGCCACCTAATACATACAAAATCCTGCATGTCAGGACTTTATGATTTGTAAAACAATTTTTCTTTTAATAATCTTTATAATTTCACACTTTAATGCATGGAACCATGCTATGGATGTTTGCAAGAATGAATGAGATAAAGTAAAATAGCAGCAAGAAAGGATGGCCACAGGAGACAGAATTAGGTGGGATATGGAGTTTTTTTCCTGCTACTTTACAGCCTATTCATACACTTTTGGGTACATGATTTTGTGCTTGATTCAGTTGCCTAAACACAGAAATTTAATGTCATTTGTCACCTGGGTACCCTAGAACATACAAGGCTAACAGATGTGATGACACATCTGTGCCAGACACACACACTTCCGGAGAAGCAGCTGGAGTCCCAATAGTTTAGGCACATTGCATGGGAAAATGGTTAAAGCTCTTCTCCTGCCTGTACCTCAGTTCCTCTCCAGATAATCTCTGTTCTTACCCTTCTTGCTCTCATAGTGTTGCTGAACAACAAAACCATTAAGGATTAGCGGGTTTTCAGAGCTGGAGGCCCCCCAGTCATCAGTCTCGTTCTGAGAAGCTGGGGGAACAAAGGATTTGGTTGATCCTTAAAAGAGGTAAGAGCCAGAGCAGAGACAAGAAAGCAGAAGTGCAAACTTACGCATTCTGGACCATCCTGCAAACCCATGACACAAGTAGCTATGCTGTGAAAAAAAGATGCGCTGTCTGCTCTTTCTCCAGACATCCAAGGAGAAAGGAAGCTTACTGTAACCTAAACATTAGCAGTCTGTAAATCAGTCCTTCTATTCAGATCTGTGGCTCCTCAAGTCAACTCTTGATCAAGGGTAGAAGAAAGCAAGTATGAACCAACAAAGCTAGTGGACCCGAGATACAAGGATTCCTCCTAGACCCCCCTCCTTGGACATGAACAGGGCATAAGCCAGTTATTGAGGTACAGGAGGATGACAGCTTTCACAGTACATGCTGTGGAGTCAACAGACCTTCAGCAGTCTATGCATGGCCCCTGCTCAAAAAGAAAAGAGAAAAAAAATTACCATGGACTAATTCTTCCTTCTCATTCTATTAGCTAATATTTACAGTCTTACTTATCCCATAAAGCCCTGACTACAAAATAACAATTTAGGAGGTCCACAGATACCACTGTTTTGTGTTATGATAAGTCTACAGAGCTACTTGCAATGACATTTATAATATAATATGACATAACACATTTAATTTGTACTAAAAGTCATTCTGGAAAGTCACTGTTATTTATGCAATAGCACAAATGTTCTTTAATGAACTGAAAAGAAAATTTTGATGATCTATGAAGAGTTGTACTGCATCTGATGTTGTAGCAGATCTTGAAATAAAAACATTTTTAGCACTAACTGCTTTTTATGCATATATTTTCTTATAAAAAAATATAAATGAAAGAATCAGGGTAGTCACAAGATACCCCTTTTCTGCTCATAAAAAAGGTCATCACAGTTGGCAAAAAGCTTTTCTTTGCTTCTGTCATAGCCATGACCTTAACTTTTCTAAAATTCTTTGTCACAATTAGTCTTGTTTAGATCACTGTTTTTGCTGGGGGATCTTTCTAACTCATTTCTCCTCTAACATGCTATATATTCACCAAAATATCCAACCATTCTAGGAGGTGACATTTGGAGTTTAACACAAGTACTGCGCAGGACAGTTTTGATAACATTCCAGTAAGCTGCAACTGACTGAACAGCATTCTAAAATCCACTTGGTTCCATTAATCTCTGAAAGTAAACCATTAAAACTGATCCTATTCCTTGATGGGCAGTAAATACAAACCTTACAATAGTTAATGATCTATTCCTAACAAGGCTGTAAGTTTGATGTGCTCAAGCACCTACTCTCTCAGTCTAGTAAGAGGATCCAGTATGTATGCACTGAGCATGTATGCACCACATATATGCACTGAGCCGGAAACTGTCCATTTGTTACCCTTTTGGCCATGCTATATTAAGTTTTTCACAGTTGGCTATGGGTAGCAGTCTCAACAACAATTTTTATTCCATTTAAGCTTCAGGCTGGGACCTCCAGTAAAACAAATCCTTTTTTGGATTAGAAAATGATGTGACTCCACATATCCAATGAATCAGATATGCCCTCTGCATTATCTTTAGTAGAATCAAAATAACAAGAAGAAAAATAATGTAATAGCAAAAATTAATTGAATTTTCACAGTAGTTATTTACAAACTACGTCCGTCCTCACTTTAATCTTGAGATTTGTCTCCAATCCTGTTCCAGCTGCAACTGATTGCCAACTGACATGTCTTTTAAAGTCTGCCACACTAAACGTTCCAGACCTTAAAAGTACAATAACCACATATAACCCTACCATTCCCAAAGCACCATGTGCCTCATCTATTATTTTAACTTAAAAATTTGGTGTTATATCACCAATTGTGACATAGCTCCTCTTGGCAGAGTTATGGAAGTAGGAAAGGCAATTTGCCAGTCAGGAAGCTGGGCAAGAGACATTTTGCACTTAGTATACGACTAAGGACCACTGAAGATTCACTTAATACTGGTCTTCCAGGAACTGTTATATCTGACATCTTTGCTCTTTCCATGCTCCATTCCTCTATGACAATTCTTAATCCTTTACACGGAAAATGGGTTGTCTAGGTATGGTGGTGATGCCTTTCTGGCATTTAGGCATTTCTTCAAAACAGCAGCAGCCTAAATGGCTGTTCAGAGTAGGTTGCCAGCAATTACTACATTTTCTTTTTCCTACATTCTCAAAATTTCATTCAGAGTCGAGGTTGGAATTCCTGCTACTGAACACATTGCAATCTCAGAAACTGGAGAGTCTTCTGCCCTAGCAATTCCATGGTCTGTGCCTCTAGTTGTTTTCTGTTCTCTGCAATTACAAAGAAAAGTATCCAATCAATATATCAGATCAGTGTAGGAATGGATCGGTATACTTTACAGTTTTGCATTTAACTTCCACAGAAAGTCAATGACTTTAATGCTTCCCTTAATTTTATTTTTTTCCATTGGAATTTTCTACTCATGTCCAGTTTTTCAATAACTTGGAAACCTTTTGTAACTAGTTTATCAACATGTCATAGTTTTCATTCTGCTCATGCATTAAACCTCACCTCACCAAATCACATCCTGTTAGCAGTGGGTACTGAATAGTAAGGCCTGCCTCACTTCCTCAGTGCTGGTTCACAGTGCCACCTACACAAGAGAAGACAATGGGTTTGGAGTATCTAAGGCAGCTTGTCCCACCTGGCCTTCAACAAGGTGAAAGTATCCACCAAAGTGCACAGGGACAATTTGGTTACTACTACCTGAGTCACAAGTGAAAGGTACGAAGGGGGCCAATTTGTCTCATACCCCACACATGTCTATTTTATCTGACCTAAAACATGAAGGACACCTGTCTACATGCCCTTTTTCTAGTCTGAACAAAGGCACAGAGAGAGTGGCAAACCCTCCATGGGCTACCAGAAACTCCCATATTTAAGACCACAGTAACACTTGTCACACCACCCTCCTGCTCTTCCCATGAACCGCAATGAATCAAAGTAAACCTTTAAGGAGCCTTCCAGAAGGTCTGAGCACCCATCATAGGGTTGATTATTAAAAGTGCAGATTTCTCACCTACAAGAGGAGTAGTTGACCATGTTCAACTTCTTATTTCAATTCAACCACAGGAAGAAGTTCCAAATAGAGTACAAGAAGAAGTTACAAACAGAGTGTTTCCAGCTGTCTTGGTCAAAGATGGTAACGGCTTTTTAGATGTGACTTACAAAATATTGACTGATGAGCAAACTTATACTCCCTTTGCATTTCCCGCACCTCCCAGTGATATTTATTAGGTAAAATCCCTTTTACCTCTTAATTCAGTCCATTGTACACTACCTGAAAACCCTTTGGTCAATTTAAAACATAATAATAATAATAATTGAATGTATTTGTATTCCTCTCATAAGCACAACTTTTACCAATACCATACAGTATAAGTTCTGTATTTAACCATCTCACTTATGTGTAGGTATAACTTCACTGTAATAGCACACATATGTAACACCTGAAGAGCATAACACCAGAATTTAGTTAATACATTTGAGGGGCTTAGTTTTATCAAGAACTGGTTTGCTTGTTTTTCATGAAAAAGTCTTGGCTAAATTACAAAATGGACTTTTACATTCCAAGTTCTTGTGCTACTCTGAAAAGCAGTACTTGACATTTGTACAGCAGGTAAAGGATTGAATTGCCCACACTGGGGAAAACAAAACAAAACAAACAGATGAAAGAAAAGCTTATAAACTGCAATAATGCAATGGTGGTCAGAAAAGTCCTTAAATTTGGTATCAGAAATGTAAAATAGGAGAGCTTTCATAAAAGTGCCATTTTGCAAAAAAGGGCCCTAATTTTTGTGGTAACCAGGACAATTAGGTGAAGCTAGTAAGGTTTCTCTGCTACCAGAAGAGGACGTTCTACCTTTATTTGAGCTCTTGCTCCGTGGAAGAAGCCATCTGTGTGAGAAACCAAATCAGATGATGCGTGCATCCAGGACAACGGGAGGATGCTAGAAGCTTCTTCACCTCTCCTGAATTTTAGGCAGGGATGTGTCAAGATAAGTTTCCAATTTTTCTTGACCCAAATCAAGATATCTTCCAAATAATCAGCTTTTGCTTGCAGTTCTGTTCACACCCGAGAAAACTTTATACAGACATGCTCTTTATGAAAATGATGGTCCTGAAGTGGCCATCCTTGACACAGGCAACAACTCCTGCATTAAGAGACAGTACAAGGAGGATGGAATAGTAAAATAATAATAATAAAAAAAGCTTATGCTAACACAATATTGACACCACAAAATAAATATTCCACACACGTATGTACATGTGTATATATGTATGTGTGTGTTAATAGTACATGGTTAGTACAAGGTTACACTCTAGGATTGCTTTTCCTCTTACTCAGTGTTTTGCAGAAATTTCCTCAGAGAACAGCCATTTAATATATTGGGTTATGAAGTTTGTTGTAGCTAGAGCTGTATTAGAGATAGGGAAAAGCCACATATTTTATGTAAATTGAGAGCTAAAAACTGAACTTTCAGAAAGTTTGAGATGTTAGGATATAGGGGTGTTTTAAAAGGCTTTATTATTCCAAGTTCAGGGCCAGCTGCAAAGATTGGACTCACATCCAAAAACATATATTAAAATGCATACACTTCTTGGTAGAAAGAAGTTTTAAAACCTGTCAGGCTGAGAACAACACTCTTTTGTGTGCTGCTTGACAATTCAGTTACAGATCGACCCTATTGGTTTTTTGGTAATTTAAATGTGATTGTTGGCAAAGCAGAAGGGGGTGGGGGAGTAGTACAGGGAGGCACACAGTGAAAGAGAAGAAAGCATTTCTGATTATACAATGTTGTTACACACAAACCCAATATTTAGCATCTTAAAAAAAAAAAAAAAAAAAAAAAAAAACAATAAAGAGCAGCTGTTTCTGTGTGATGTCAGAGAACAGGTGTGATACAAATCTCCATACCAGCGCAATCATATTGATCTCCCGATGATGCACGCATGAAGCACATGTGCAAACGTTATCGACCCATCCGGCATCTCATTTCCAGGAATACGGCCTGAAAATGCCCCTTTATAATTGAAAACATTATCAGGATAAACACCGCATTGGCCAATTATGAAAAAAAAAAAAAAAAAAAAAACACAGACAAACTTGGGGGGAAAAAAAAAAAAAAAAGAGAGAGAGAGAGAGAGAGAGAGAGAGCAGGAGCAGAGCGGGGAACCTGCGCCCCAGCGGCGCGGTGCCGGGAGCGGGGCGCTCGGTGCGGGGGCGAGCCGGGGCAGCCTCGCCGCTGCCCCCCAGCCTTTTCGAGACGGGACCCCCGCCGGTGACCGGGACAAGCCCCTTTACCCCCGCTCCCCAGGGGGCGTTGCCCGGGGATGGGGAGGGTTTGGGGGTCCGGCCCCCTGTAGGCACCTTGCGCCTGGGATCCGTCCCCTGCAGGAGGAGAGGCGGCTTTGGAAAGCTGCCCTTTTCCGCGGGGTGAGGGGTGTTTTGGTATTAATTGTTGATGCCGTCTGCCATTAGAGGGCACTAAGCAACCCTGCATTCACGCTGCTCCGGCGAGAGAGGAGGGAGAGGCGGGGCGGGGGGGCGTGTGGGGGGAAGAGTGGCACCAATTTGGGAAAAAGATTAAAAAGGATGTGGAGTCCCGGAGCTTCTGAAGTGCTCAAAATGCCCGGGCGCTGCTCAGGACGATGATCATAATAATAACAAAAAAAAAAAAAAAAAAGAAAGAAAGAAATGCAGCGAGGTCAATCATTTACCAGTCTGCTTCTTAATGCGTGTGACTGCAGGTGGTACCGGGGGACATTGTGATTCATGCCCACTTTCAAAGCGGGACCCGGGCCCGGGCTGAGGCACCCAAACAACTGTCTTCTAATATTAGCACGGCTGTATTTCTGGATCTATTATAGTCTGTCCAGACAGATCCCATTGTAATGGGATCTTTTATTAAAAGATTAGCACTATCTCCTGCAGTTGGTGGAAAAAAATCTGTTATCGCTGAGTTATTTGCAGTTGTGGGGAGGGGGCGGGCGGTGGGGGGGGCCGGGGGGCGGGCGCGGGAGGAGGGCTGCGGGGAGGGCCGGCGGAGGGCGCGGGCGGCCGCGGCGCACCGGCCCCTGACCCGGCACTGTCCGGGCATTCCTGTCTGCATACTTCGCAGTCTGTTGTGCTTTGGTGGCTCAGAAAAGCGAAAGAATCGAAATTAAAAAGGCAGCTTTTGAATAAACAATGCCATTTTCCGTTAAGTAATCGTTTTGTATAAAAGGAAATATCGCCTACTCAGTTTCATTCAACGGTGCCAAAAAATGTTATAAATGAGAGACCGCCAACTTTTCTAAGGGGAGAATAATGCCAGACTGTGCTTAATAAACTAGTGCCCTAGAAGTTCATTATCGATGTTGCAATCTTTTCTGATTCTGAAAGGAGACCGCCTACGTCGCCCCCATTCCCGTCTCGTCCTCCCGGGCTCCCAGTGAAAAAGGCTGTCACTTGGGCAGAGCCCTAGGTATTAAACTTTTATTCGGTTCCTTGCTGTTGTTTTTTTTTCCTCTTTATTTTTTTTTTTTTTGGTCCGGGGTTGGTCGCTTGGTTGGCCGGGGCTTTTTTTCGGGGGCCGAGCCGTGTGTGCGCGCCGCTGCGGGCACCGGGGGCTGCGGAGCGCGGATGGGGAAGGCTGGGGAAAGCAGCGCGGCGGGGGGAAGCTCCGCGGAGCAGGGCGCGGAGCGGAGCCCCCTCGGGGGAGCAGCGCAGCCCCCTGGCCCCCCAGCCCCGCTCCCTGCGCCGCGACCCCCGTGGGTCGCCAAAACCCCCCGGGTGCGCGGCGCGGGTCCCCAGGGCTTTGCGCTGCCTCCCGCGGGTGCGGAGTTTGCGCGGGTGCGCGCCCGGGGCGTGGGGGTGCGCGCCCGGGAGGGTGCGCGCCCGTGTGTGTGCGTGCACCTAAAGCAGATAATTGGAGAGGGTTTCCAGAAGGTGGAAAATGTCACCTGATTCACACTGAACTTTTTAAATCTCCCCACCCCCGAGCAGACACACACACACATTAGGAGACCGCCCACCGCAGACAGCTAAGACCCCCGTATAGATTTAAAGAGAGACTGCATTCAGAGCCTGACGTTCATTCAATAGAGCGATCATAAGCAGGCTGGCTAGTGCTCGCTCCCTCTCCCTACTCCCCCTCACTCTGTTTCTGTGTCTCTCTCACTCCGTGCTACGCTGAGGATGTTAAATCAGAGGATCCACCCGGGCATGCTCTTACTCCTGATGTTTCTCTGCCACTTCATGGAAGACCACACAGCGCAGGGTAAGACCGGATTGTTTATTCGTAGATGCCTTTTATTGCTGTTGTTGTTGTTATTATTACTGTAATTTTCCGTCTTTCGAGGGCTGTTTAGTTCGCTGCGGTGTTAAACGCCTCTCTCCAAGGTCCAACAGGAAAGAAGTTAACTGTGGGCATGGGGCTGCTTTGTACCGAGGCACAGAGGTGTCATTTAGGTTGCTTTTTGATCGGATCTTCACCCCGCTCTGCACAGGCACAGAGGACAAATGAGGATGTTTCTTGTTATTTTTGTTGTTATGCAGCATGAATGAAGAGCAGCATCGTGGGGGAACTTTTCCTAGGCTCAGGTCCCGAATGAGTGCTTAAAGTTTGTTGGTAATTTAGCTCAGATTCTTATCTCGGCCGCCTGACAGAAGGAGAGGTGATGATGGGGAGCCCCACAATTACAGCTGACACTTTCAGAAACCAATAGTGGTCATTTTCCGGACATTCCTTTAATATTAGGATTTCCTCCTTACCCCCCTCCCTCTCCTAGTGAGTGTGTGTGTATGTGAGTAAATGTTAACGTGCTGTAAATTCTCCTGCGCTGAGGAGTATGCTTCAGTGAGTTTGCTTTTTTTTTTTTTTTTTTCTTCTCGCGAACAAAACAGCCCCGAACCTGGTATTGACAACTCTTAAGAGCCCTCTTTCGACACAAGGGAATATTGATTTTTAGTTTGGGGGCTTTTTACCCCTTATCTTGACCGTGTGACACCCACAACCTGGATGTCTTACCGTTGCTTGTTTTACCATTTTTCTTCCATTTTTTTCCCCCACGCCCCTGAGCTAGAGCAGAAGTTAATCTAACGTAGGCAACTGTAAGACGCAAAACTTTTTTTTTTTTTTTTTTAGGGCGTTGTTTGTTCTGTGATTTTTGGCAGGGGGGTGGGGAGGGGGACACGACACGACCCGTCCCCCCGCACCCCGCGACATCCCGGCTGGCCGATCCTGACCCCTCGCTCCGGTACGTTCCCATCGGAGTAAGGAGGCAGGATCGAGCCCTCGCTGGATGAGCACCAGAATCAATTGGTATTGAGTCGCTGGAGAAGTCACACTGGTTATTCACGAGAGGCTCATCCCAACCAAAACTCTCCAGCTAAAGTAGGGGGAGTTGCTTGGACTAATGTTCTTGGCATGACTCCACGAATAACAGGGATACTAGTAAAAAAAAAAAAAAAAAAAAAAAAAAAAAAAAAAAAACTCTATCCGGTTTAAGGACAGTGTACTTTCCTCTGTAATGTTTGCCGGAGAGACGGCACCTCCAACTTTTCCAGTTGGATCGATTTTGAAAACTCCGTAGGGACCTCCTCCTCTGTGTGCCCTTGCGTTGTGTGTACTTTGCTCACTTTTTTTTTTTTTTTTTTTTTTGAGCTCTGCTGACTTATTTTAGTAAAGGGAAGACGTTTGTTAACAGCAGCAGCGAAATGTGGAGATTTCGAAAGACTTCGCTAACAGCGAATGTTCCCAGTCCGTGCGGATTGCAAAATGGGCTGGGGCTGCAACTGCGTGCGGCACTAAAACAATGCTGCTGGGCAGCCGCCGTCAGGAGGAGAGGGCAGGGGGAGGAGGGAGGAATTTGCAAGCGCGATTTTCTTTTTATTCCCTTTTAAATGCACATCCTTTTCAAGCCTCTGTCACGTGCCGGCAGGGCTCCTTCTGCTCTACATATGGAATAAATACCTCGGAAAACTGCCTCGTCCTGTTTTGATCCGGTCTTTTTCTTTCAGTCGCTTTTAATTATTATTTTATTATTATTGTTATTAGTAGTATTATTATTGTTATTATATTTAACCGCGGTCCCAAGCGGGCCGGGGTAGCTGCAGGTTACGAAAGGGGGCAAATTAAAGCAGCCGCAGCGGCCAAAGTCGGGGGCGCCCGGGGCGCAGCACGCGTTGTGCCCCGGGGGTGGCGGTCACTGAAGGCGTGCGGGTGTCCCCCCCCCTTGTCCCCCCGCAGCTGGGAACTGCTGGCTCCGGCAGGCGAGGAACGGCCGCTGCCAGGTCCTCTACAAGACCGACCTCAGCAAGGAGGAGTGCTGCAAGAGCGGCCGCCTGACAACCTCGTGGACGGAGGAGGATGTCAACGACAACACGCTCTTCAAATGGATGATTTTTAATGGGGGAGCCCCAAACTGCATCCCCTGCAAAGGTAAGGGGGGCCCTGCCAGGCACATAGGCCCGTGCAGTGGGTTGGGGGAGGCAGGGGGCTCCAGGAAAACCATGCTGCCCCAGGGGGACCCCCTTTTTCCTAGACCATGCAGAGGGGTTGAGGGGAGGGAGTCCCCCAGGTCCATATCCTTGCAGGCTGGGGGATTTCCCTTGCCTTCCCTTCCCCACGTGGGTGTGGGGGTGCGGGGAGGTGTGTTCACTGTGTGCCCCGGGGTCACAGCGTGTTTTCGTTCTCTGAGCGATTTTGGCACCAAGTCTGTCCCGCATGCTGGTTACTGAAGGGGTGCCTCTTTCCTTCCGTCAGAAACGTGTGAGAATGTGGACTGTGGACCCGGGAAGAAATGTAAAATGAACAAGAAGAACAAACCTCGGTGTGTTTGTGCTCCGGATTGCTCTAATATCACTTGGAAGGGCCCCGTGTGTGGCTTAGATGGGAAAACCTACAGGAACGAGTGTGCCCTTCTCAAAGCCAGATGTAAAGAACAGCCCGAACTTGAAGTCCAGTATCAGGGCAAATGCAAAAGTAGGTTTGCAAATCTCATCTGATCTCCCTCAAATGCCAAAGGGTGTGTGTCTGAGTGTAGGGAGGAGGAGCTGACGTACTTCCCCAGTGTAACCAGAGTGATTTTGCAAGTGCTGGGAGACAGTAACTAAACCATGCTCAGCAGACCAGGACCTAGCTGGACTGAGAGTTCCCCAGGGTCTAGCAGCACTTACGTCCCACCAGCTACCCTAAGATGGGAAAGTCCCCTACAGCAGCCCTTAAATGAGGATTGCTGCTGAACGCTTTAACTGATCATTTGTTTCATTGTGTCACCCATTTGCTTCTCGCTGGGGTGCTGGGCTCCCCTAATTAATCACTCTGTTTCCATCTTTATTTCAGAGACCTGTAGGGATGTCTTATGTCCGGGCAGTTCCACATGCGTGGTGGATCAAACTAACAACGCCTACTGTGTGACGTGTAACCAAATTTGCCCTGAGCCTACCTCCCCTGAGCAATATCTCTGCGGGAATGATGGCATAACTTACGCCAGTGCCTGCCACCTGAGGAAAGCCACCTGCTTGCTGGGCAGATCCATTGGATTAGCCTACGAAGGAAAATGCATCAGTAAGTATCTCAGCTGGACTGATAAGAGTGGAGGGAACTGAACTTGCAGTCTCGGCTGCTTGGGGGTATTGTGGATGTGTATCGGTGGGTGCGTGAGTGTGTGAATGGATGGATGGGGATTGTGCTGGGAAGCAGGAGACTGAGCACCTTGGGTTTGTGTTCCCCTCTAGGACAAAGCAGAGCTAGGGCATGCTTTGCACCAGCAAAGATTGTAAAAGGGGTGAGGGAGTAAAGGGTGTGATCCTGCTCCTCTTGCTGTCACTGTGGGTGCTGACATTAGTGTCCAAGGGAGAAGTACCCACCATTAAATAAATGATGACATGGTTACAGCATAACAAGGTCTCGATATTCAGTGGATCTGGATTCCTGGAAACAATTGTCTTGGCAAAGCTTGCGTTAACTTAATTGGAAACATCTGATCACTTTTTCCTCTTCAAAAATATTGCAGAGTTTGGAGACAGTTGGTGGGTGAAGATAGGAAAATAATCTCAGTGCATCCTGACATTTTGTGTTGTAATTCCCAGAAAGGAGCGGTAGTGAAGCATGTTACGAGGAAGCACCTTGCAGCCTCAGCTCCCCCAAACTGCTGGAGGGATGCCGGGGAATCTCAGACAGATTTTAGTTGGCATAGGTTGAGGTGAATTCCCCCTCCAATCTTGTAGGAAACAGCTCTATGTGGGTTAGTGTAAAAATAATTGATTTAGAAATGCTGAATGTGTTGGCAAATTCTCCACTTACCACTAATTTGGGGAGCTGAATTGCCACTGACATCAAACGGAGCAGGAAGGTCATGTGCGATATAGGCAAATGTAATTATGTATTCCCAGGGCCAAGCTCTACTGGCACGGCTGTCTTTCCTCCCCCACGTACAGACAGGCAAACGTGTCCAAGGGACTACTTGCTTAAAAACATCACCCCATCTACAGCATCTGAGCTCTGTCTATTCACAGTTACTTGGGAAGAAAAAGGAGTTTGGGGTTGTTTGGGTTTGCTTTTTTTTTTTTTTTTTTCCTCCTTTGTCTTTTCACTTACCTCTAGTATCTTGTGTATATTTTTAGAAGCAAAGTCCTGTGAAGACATTCAGTGCAGTGCTGGGAAGAAGTGCTTGTGGGATTTTAAGGTTGGCAGAGGTCGGTGCGCCCTCTGTGATGAGCTCTGCCCTGAAAGCAAGTCAGACGAGGCAGTCTGTGCCAGCGATAACACAACTTACCCAAGCGAGTGTGCCATGAAAGAGGCAGCCTGCTCCATGGGTGTGCTTCTAGAAGTAAAGCACTCTGGATCTTGCAATTGTAAGTGAGATTTTTAACTCTGCAGACACTTAAGGCTTCTGAAGGCAATCCCTAGGTAACAAAGACTTACGCCTTTAAACCTAAGAAAGCTTATTTTAGAGATTCAAGATACGGCACATGTGCCATACAAGTATGTATGTATCACGCACACGCTTTGGTTACTGATGAAATGCAATAGATGTCCAGCAACCAGCTGACTTTCACGTTGGGGTTTTGGGGATATTCTGAGAACAATTTGTTTTCTCAGAAACGGGTTGCCCTAGGAGCATACTTTTAGCAATTTTTCCTGATTTGTCTGCTCTCGTGTGCTTCGCTGATTGCTTTATTAACACTCGGATAAACTCTTAACTCTGTCCAAATGAACGAGCCTGATGGTAGCACATGGGCACCTGGCTTGGCACAGTTGCCTCTACTAACTCTGAATGAAGGACACAAAGCAGTTAAACCTAGAACACAAGAGCGCTTTTTATTTGATTTCAGGAATCTGCCAATAAAACCTGAGCCATTGATTCTTCAGAACTTTCTGCAGTTATGACTTCATAGATTATGTATAAAAAACCTTATTGCATAACAGCAGATGCCAAAGAGCATCTCACTACAAGTCGCATAAAATGCAACGCTGTATTATGGCTGTTCAGAGGGCTTTGAAAACATGCACTGAGCTGCTTCTGCGCTGTTGTTGTCCTTATTTAAACAACAGCTCCCCTGTATTCCCCCATCTAGCCATTAATGAAGACCCAGAGGAAGAAGAGGAAGATGAAGACCAGGACTACAGCTTTCCTATATCTTCCATTCTAGAGTGGTAAAACCTCCATCACTATTGGAACAGCCATTGGGCACGAAATCAATGTCCATACTGTAAATAAGTGTATGCTTATTTATTTTGGGGAGAAAAAAAGTATACATATAGTTGAGTCTCGTAGACATTTATTTATACTGTGTCATGTTTTATAATTTATACATAAAATGTCTGGTTGACTGTACACCTTGTTTTTTGAAGAAATTTATTCGTTACGGGAAGAGCAGTGTTATTTATTGTGAGGTCTCTTGCTTGTAAAGTAAAGCTTTTCTTTTTTTCTTGTAAACTATAAAAGTCCATTCCTTAGAGCTTACCCACATGATCTCATCTCTTTGTTTCACTGAAGTTAACTTTTTTCCACTTTAACAAACTTGCATGTCGGTTTCTGTTATGTTTATTTATTGGATTTTCTTCTTGCCGGTCCTGTACATAAAAGATCCCTCGGGTTTTTGTTTACAAGGAATCTTGACTGACCAAAAGGCATTGTAACTGACTTAAATATACTTCCAGGGTGCAGTGAGGCGGTCTTTAAGGAAACCTCTTCCACTTCACTTTTCTCTGCTTCTGATCAGATCACGTACTGACGTGATCTCAATGCGCTGAGCATTTATACTGTACTATAAGAATTCCGGACCCAAAGAAAATCGGATTATGAAGGTTGTTAATAGCTACAGGGCTAACTGTAATAAGAATAAAGTTTTATTTTATTTTTATTGTTTTACTTTTTGTAACATGCATAAATGTTTTAACAGGTGTTTCCTTTAAGATGGTCTTGCAGTACCACTTTCAAAGTTTTGTTTCCCAATCAGTGTGTCACTAAAAGTTTTATCAAAGCTTTATCAGTTCAAGTTTCTTGCTTTTCATAATACTTTTTTTCTGATGCAATTTTATATTTTCAAACATGGCGAGTTAAATATAAATTCATTTAAATATATAGTTTTGTACTTTTCTACCATGTAAATGTGCAATGTATATAAAAGTTATAATGTGTATTTGTAAATAAATGATGAGTGAAAAAATAAAAAATGGAATTTTCCCTAGATGCAGTCCTTGTTTTTTTGCTTCTAAAGGGTTCTGGTGCGGAGGAGATGTACTGGTAGTCAGGGGAAAGGAGGCTTGTGTCTGACTTCACACTGAAACACACTGGTTAAGGCAAAAGCTTTCAGTTGACATTAATTCAAGAAACCGTTCTTTTCAGACAGAAGCAACATCTCCAGTCTGTTGATGTTACTTCATTTTAAATCCAAGTACTCTGACGGATGGGAAGAGATTCAGCATTTTTGTTTCCCTCTCCATCCTGAGAATAAAACGTCTGTCATTTCTTGGACATCTTTAATTTGCGCATTTCTAGGACGTTTTGAACACACATTTGAGTTTATGTTAAGCTTCAGATCCATGTTAGTGAGGTTATTGTATCATAATTTCAGATGAATAATAGAAAGGGCAAATGAACTTATTGCTCAAATGCAAGACGGGTAACAGTGCAACAGACGAAGAAAAAAAAAAGATGCATCAAACAGCACATTGTCACTTGGAAATTCTTTGCTCCCAAGAGGAGGGTTAATTCATAAACTGTTTAATTCTGAACCAATCTTCAGATTGGACACTTTTATTGTCTAAGACTCAGTGTCCAGTGAACTCAGAGGAAAGGTATCAGCCAGCCATAGGCACAGTAGGGATCAAAATCTTGTTTTATGCTACCGGGGTTATGCTGTTCTCCCAAACAAGGCTCCACTTATCAAAAATTCTCCACTGTACTGCACAAAGCTTAAAAAGGTACTTAAGCACCTTCTTCAGTAGCATTTAAGCAGTTTGCTGAGTTGAGGTTTCAGAGCGGAAATTGACTTACCCATTTTGTTTGAATACAAATCGTATTTAAAGCCTGTTCCTGCTATAGTCTTCTGTGTATTTCTTACTACACAGTAAACTGTAATTTGTTATGGATTGTTTAGCATTATCCAAAGTAAATATAATTTATTCATCTATGAACACATAAAGACTACAGGCGTGCATTTATAATATTGTATTCAAAATAATAGCAAAAAAAATCTTCCCTTCCTCCTTCCGTTGCTTCGTTTAGACAAGTAATCTCTTTGGAAGGAAGTGCACAGTGAGAGGAGCAAAGTGAGCAGGATTTTAGTCTCCTGAGGGCAACAACCCAGAATAAAGGAGAATGGGGGCTGGGAAAATAGAGGGATGGAAACAGACCCTATCGGAAAATCTCCAGATGAACTAATAAACACATGACAATGAAATAGAGATGAAATGTTTAATAGATGTGGCGAGTACAAGGGGAGAGTTTTCTCAACTTCAGATAGGTGCCAGCTACCTCATTTCCAACAAAACGACAACATTAAAAGGCTGCTTTTAATTGTAAATATATTTACATGTCTTACTGTAGCAGAGCAGGATTTCTGGGTTCTAATTTTGCGTCCTGCTTCACAAAGTCACAGCCGAATTCAAAAAAGCATCAAAAATGCCAGGAAATGTACATACACTTATGTATGTACATGTACACGAAACAGTCGCACAAAATAAATAAATAAATAAATCTACATCAGGGTTTTGCTGATAAAATTATCTAAAAGTTCTGCCATGGCTTTTCCCATCACTGCTGTTATTTCCATGCAGCTGAAAACCTCAAAACCTACCTTGCACCAAAGCCTGCCTGTGGTGTACAGGTGAGGCATCTCCCGAGACGCTTCATGAGGTAGGCGCCTTCTGAGCATGTCTAACAGACACCAACCTCAGCATCAGGCATGACGGCCCCAGAGCCTTTCTCCTAGAAACACGTCCAGAGGTAGTGGCAGCACAGCTGCTAACATTTTACATAATATCATACTTGTAGATAAGGTGCTTGCTGATGAAGTGGGAGATGCAGGTTCATCGCCAGTCTCTTCCTGAGGAGATCTTTCCCACATCTCCCAAGAGCACATCCACCAGCAGCTCAAGGTGAAGCTCAGAGAACTGTCTGTCATGCCTCCTGAAGCCATGCTTCTGTGTCAGAGAGGAAGCAAGATTATTTGAGAGAGGATAATTTGCAACCCTAATAGGTGCTCCTTTTGAAGAGGAAGTCTTGGGTTCTTGCCCCAGGGGCTGCCTACACATTTTGCATTTGTAATTGAGTAACATACATAAATAATGCTTGGAGCAGGGGACAGAATCCAGGTTGCCTCCCCTTTTCCTTCCCCTAGTATGTAAGTGCCTCCGTCCTTGAGCTATGAAATCATGTTTAACCCTCTGTTTAAATCAAGATTACAAATATCACATCTCTTTCTACACTGAGTCATAGTTACAGCATGAGAGCTTTGGTTTTTCCTTTTCTCTCCTCCAGACTTGTATGTAAGGAACTTCCTGGGAAGTGGAAATGTGATCTTAATTCCCTCATGCTAAGGAAGATGCTGAATCTGTTTGTTTTTTTTTTTTGTTTTTGTTTGTTGTTTGTTGTTTTTTTTGTTTGTTTGTTTGTTTTTGTTTTTTTCTAATTCCTTTCCTTTCTGAGGGTTTCAAGAAGGTGGTTTCCAGCTCTGAAACCATCTTGCACAAGCTCCTAAATCCAGAAGAGAAATAAATTTTCAGGAATATCTTTCTCTTCAGTGTTTTCTATCAGCTGGCATATGTATTCCCCTTGCTGTAAATCATATTGCTGAAACTCCTAGTGAACTAGTTCACCATGGCATGTACTAATATACTGAATCTCAGGCCTTGAACTACATTCACAAATGCAGGCGCTTAAACGTCAAAGTGTATATGTTTGAAAACAGAAACCCATGCTCTGGCTCTTAAGCAAAATCAGCTTAATTCCAAGAGACTCGGTTTGAGGCATTTGAATGATAAGAATATTGCTTCTAAAGCCCTGGTTCCCAAATGTATTCATCCATGCAATACATGCAAGCGAGTGTAGACAATTTTGATCACACTCAAAAGCATTCCTTATAGCTATGTTCATATGATAGACTTAAGAACAATATAATGGACCTCTTTTGCACCTTTTACCTCTTTGCTTGCTTTCTGCCTGCTAATGCACCTCACCTAAAACTACATTCCAAGCCCCTCAGCAAATTTCAAACAGCTGCCTTTTTTTTTTTTATTACATAAAAATGTTTCCTTCTTTCCCTCCAAATGGGAATCAGGTGAAATTAAATTTCAGTATGCAGTGCTGTTCTCTAGGCAGTGACATTTTACTATATAATGAATCATCAGCACAGAAACATCTGTATCTTATCCCTTTGAAGAACTAGGATTCCATGCTTTCTGGTGAAGCAAAGCATTTGTACGTAGACCAAGAGGTTCACAAGCTATCAGATTTTAAATTCATAACTCCCTGGACATAAGGCAATTACTCCTTTTCTTCATTTGTTTGATATTTCTGTAATTCCAAGGCCTGCCTGACCCATTGCAGCAGCATGAATTTTGCAGGTAGAGGTATGTGAAAAACAGTTAACTCAGAAGTTAACTATGTATTTATTTAAGATAGGTGTAAATAAATAATGGACTTTAGGGTCTGAATTTTGCTGATGCTCATTTGGGATTATGTGTATAATTCAGTTAGTTTACTCTTAAGAAATATGGCCAATGAAATTATCATGTGGTGGAGCAATATAATATAATATAATTTGAAATGAAGATGAGAGCCATTGTATTCAGCTTAGAGACTGATTTGGAGTTGAAACATGTACAGTTCATTTTCCTCTGATTTATAGGTACCTTCTTATGATCTTTTAAACTTTAAATGGATTTGTTCAACTTTGTTTTTGGATTGAAGAGCACTATTGTGTCAGAAAACTGAAAAGAAACTCTGGACGGTGATAACAGCTTATCAGACTTACTAGATGCAGTTACAGGATAAGGAATTTACCAAAGTGGTCCACTGTAGATCAGAATGCCTGAAGGCTGCTGAATTTCCACCTGTACAAATCAGCAACAGCATGAGAGCCTCCCAGTGCTTCCTGTGAGGTCTATAGATAGTTGGAACTCCCCAAAACTGAAATCACTGCATTCCCATTGAAGAGATAAATTTTACTAACCTGGTTTTAAAGATTTTTGAAATATTTTTAAATTAATGTTGAAACCTTTCTTGATGGTATGTTAGATGTTCACAACAAAAACATTTAAAAACAAAACAAAACAATATTTTCCTCTGTAGCAGGACTGTATGCCAAAATACAGTTTTACATAAGTTCTAATATATTTTTCAAGATCCCTTAGCAGCTTGGAATGCTGTTATTCAGATAACAACATTCCTATCAGTCTTTTGGTGAGCTTCATGATATTTACTCTTAAGTTTTAAGCACTTCTAATATTAAGAGTCACCTGGAACTACAAGGATGATGTTGATAAATGGCCTTTGCTGGAAACTCGTACAAGGTACTAATATGTGCTACCATTTGATTTTTTGTATTAGAATCACAGAATTGTAGGGGTTAGAAGGGACCTTGAGAGATCATTGGGTCCAACCCCCCTGCCAAAGCAGGTTCCCTAGAGCAGGCTGCCCAGGTAGGCATCCAGACAGGCCTTGAATATCTCCAGAGAAGGAGACTCCACAACCTCCCTGGGCAGCCTGCTCCAGAGCTCCGTCACCCTCAACATGAAGAAATTCTTTTGCATGTTGGTGAGGAACTTCCTGTGATCCATTTTGTGGCCATTGTCCCTTATCCTGTCCCCACAAACCACTGAAAAGAGGTTGGCCAAATCCCTCTGTCTCCCATACTTCAGGTATTTATACACATTGATAAGATCCCCAAGCATTGCTGAAAGTAGTCATACGGCAAGACACATAGATAAAGAAGATAGGTAGTTATGCAAATCCTTAGCCAACATGGAAGAAAGTGTCACTGAGGACAAGACAGCTCAGCAGAGGCCCACCAGGATGCTCAGGGACTGGAGCACCTGTTCTAAGAGGGAAGCCTGGCAGATGGGGCTGCTTCTGCCTGGAGAAAGGAAGGGTTTGGGGGCAGCCTTCTACCTGCAAGAAGGTCATGGAGAAGATGGAGGGAAGATCTCCAGAGCAGTGCATGGTGGCAGGACAAAAGACAACAGGAA